GTTCACGAAATTATATATTTTGACATGACAATTGTTTCGACAACACCGTGTCTTTATCAAATGTAATATTTACAAACTACCTGCTACTATATATACCGAAAAGTGACCATAACACCATAATTAATGTTATTGTGAGAATTTAAGTTCAATAAAGGGGAGGTATTTCAATCTAATTGATCGTTAAGCAATACATTTGAATGTCTCATTTTGTTAATCTCCATGGCTCCCAATAAATTTAATTTTCTACTTTTTGTGGCTGTATGTAAAATATCAAAATTGTCGTCAAAAATGTGTTTTTATGTGTTTAAGTGTGTAGAATAATTAGAATCTAGACTATTGTTTTTAAACGCTCTTATATGTTCGTTAATGCGTTTCTTGAAGGATCTACCTGTTTGTTCAATATAAACTTTAGGACAAGATCCACATTTCAACCTGTAGACACCTGATTTTTGTGATTTTGGACATTTATTGTTTTTTAAATATTTTCCTATTGTGTTGTTAGTTCTGAAAGCTATTTTTAAACCACATTTTGACAAATATTTTAAACATTTTGACTAGGTTCTCCGATGTATGTAATTCTTTTAAATTGTTCGTGTTCTGTATTAGGTTTCGGATAAATAATGTTTACTGTTGTCTGTATTTGTTTTTTATTTATAATTTTATCTCTAATGCCGTTGTTCAGTGCAATTTGTTGTTTGTTGAGTTCTTTGTTGTAATTTTCTTTGGGGAGTGGCGTATTAAGAAGTCTGTGTATAAAAGATTTAAATGCAACCATTATGTGTGTATAAGGGTGATTTGAGCTGTTATGTATGACTGTGTCCATTTGTGAAGGTTTATGATATATTGAAAAATCTAATTTGTTTTGCACTTTCGTAATAGTTAAGTCTAAAAAATTAATAGAGTTATTCTGTTCAATCTCGATAGTGAATTTTATACGATTATGTATTGAGTTAATGTAATTTAAAAAAGAACAACAACAAAACAAGCAAAGACATCGTCCACATATCTATACCACCATCAAAGACTTTTACTTAAAGGATGTTCTAGTATGATATTTTCCAAATTATCCATAAAAATCTCGGCTAACAAAGGACTAAGTGGGTTTCCCATAATCAAACCTTCTCACACACTCAAACACAGAAAAACACATTTTTGACGACAATTTTGATATATTACATACAGCCACAAAAAGTAGAAAATTAAATTTATTGGAAGCCATGGAGATTAACAAAATGACACATTCAAATGTATTGCTTAACAATCAATTAGATTTAAATACCTCTCCTTTAATGAACTTAAATTCTCGCAACAACATTAATTAAGGTTTTATGGTCATTTTTCGGTTTATATAGTAACAGGTAGTTTGTAAATATTACATTTGATAAAGACACGGTGTTGTCGAGACAATTGTCATGTCAAAATATATAATTTCGTGAAAATCTGAACTTTTAGTTCTTATTTATTTTGAAAACTTAGTTAGATAGTATCGACGGATATACGGGACTGATTATTGGCAACTACAAAAACATTTTATTTCTAATAGAACATACAACGCTGTAAATAAAAAAATAACATGTTTGTCACAACGGAACACTTCAAATCGGATAAGGATGTAATCAAACGGAATTCCACCGAATTCCACTAAAATTCTTCGGAATTTCTTTAAAAATATATTTTTTATAGAATTTATATAACTTGTATAGAATATAGAATACTTTTTTTTATAGGAAATATAATAGAATTCTATTTTAAGTATTTATTGTTTATTTATTTCGTATGCATTTCATATACAGAGAATATTTCTACATAAAAACTTATGAAAAATGCACAATTAAATTAGAGGTTTGACCCCTAAAAAAGTAAAAAATGAAAGCCTAAGTTCATCTTACAGCTATGTTTTGTTATATTATGCTTACTCGAATATGATTCTTAAACCTACTCTCAGTAATGAAAAAGTTTAATGCTCGTTCTTGTTGACCAACCGGGAGCTGCCCTTGAGATGAATGAATTGCGCCCCTAGTTGGTTCTGTGGTACGGTACAAAAAATATGCTATTTAGACGAGTTATTCCTATGGCTGCCAAAAACACAATTTTTGACGGAAATCAGGGGCAAAAACAACTGCATGAGGTGGGCTTCGTCACGACGGGCTGTAGCGTTTTCAGACCTAATAAGTTTTCAATGACCACCAGACTTTGAAATTATGTTGGATCTGTGCTTGTCAAAGGTAAAGCCGTTCTCGAAGACGCCTTTGATACTGCTTTAGATTTCCATCGATCCAAGTGTGTTCTTAAATTATAGGATCGCGAAGGCAGCTATATCAATGATAAATGCAAAAAAGAATAACGGCCCTGTTAGAGCTACGAGACACCCTCGAAGTAACTGGAAAAGCCTTCGACAAGTAATTTTTAGTCTAACAACCTGCCTGCATCTCCCCAGATACGACGGGATCCATTGTAGAAGTTTGCACACTTTACTAAGCGACATTGCCATGATTCACCCTATCAAAGGTTTTGCAAAAATCTGATCCTGATATCCTGTCTTCAAAGCACAAGTGATTGAGTATGTAATTAAATTCAAAATTGTTGATCTTCCCGATTGAAAGTCATATTGATGGTCTATAATTGCATTTTTCAAAAAGGGAGTTAAAAATTGAATTATTAAGTTTTCGAGCAATTTTGGTGTGGCACTTAATATGGTGTATAATTTATTACATAGGGACGTTTTGCTGTTTTCCTGAACAATGTAACATAACATATACTAAACTAATAAGGAACAATGGAATACTATCATTAAACGCAATACGTAAATAAACAATTCAAAATGAGTTAGCATAATTACGAAATAGTGCATAAATAGTGAAATTCAATTCAGTATACTAAAAAGCAACCCAAACCGGTATTTGCACAATTTTATTTGCGTATATACGGCGTGGAACATATTTTTATTATTAGTCATTATTCATAATGCCTATGGCGTATTATCCACGTGGAAGTATTTTTTAATTACTTTTAAAATAACTGTCTAAGATCTTTAATTCATAGGCTACTTGCTCTTAATGATTTTTTTTTGGGCCAACAATTTGTTTGAAATAAAAATTGCAAATATCTTAAAAACAGTATAATTTTTCGAAATAAATGTGGTGTTCTGTAGTTGTTCTTTTCTTATAATTTTCAAAAAAATATACAGAATAGAATTTAGTCGTTTTCCCCATCTGCAGAAAAACCCAGACTCTAAACCTTCATGTCGGTGTTTCAAAAACTGCTTGACTCATACAGAAATAACAATTTCAAGAACTAAACTTTAACCCTCCGCATTTCGCTAATGAGCGACATTTTCCTAAGGCATCTTTGGCTCTTTGGCGTTTTTTAAGTTGTGTGTGTAGTTGTGTAGAATAACACATAAATAAATGTACTATATATTTATTTACATCAACAAAACAAACCATTTTTAATTGATTAGTTTTTAGTTATAAAAAACAATATTTATAAATCTAAATAAATTCCTTTTAATTGATATCCGAATTCCAGAATAAAATTGTTAATAAGTAAAATTGACTGGGCCGCTGGCAAACTTAGGGTATTAATTCTATATATTAATAATTTTTACAGATACCTTCTTGGTGTAATAGTACGATATCATCTGTGTGCCACGTGGTAGGTCGGGGTATTTTTTTTATTTCTTTGGGGTACCCAAATTAAATGGCTTTTTCAAAAATCAATTTGCTTTGATCTCAATTATCGTTGCAATTTGTGTATCATGAAAAGAGGTGAAAGCTGGAAATACCATATAAAGAATCTTAAAATGCTTAGCAATCACGGTTGGGATTGTTTTTTCGATTATTTTTAGGTGGTTTTAATGTTTGAATTTGCCCTGAATTTTTTTGGAATGCTGAGAAATTGTAACAAATTTCAGGAGATGTTCATAAAATAAAAGATATTTAGTCGTATTGACAGGGCCTGCTGGTGCACATGCGCTGCAGAGCTCCCAAAAAATTAAGAACTTTCAGGTAATTAAATATCCTAACTAAAATATTTTCCTTTATCCACAACAAAATGCATAATATTTCGCATTCGTCATAATGATAAAAAATGGAATGCAATGTAAATGCAATGAATGTTTGAGTAAAATCGTCCAGTAGAATAAACAGCCTATAATCGCGCTGGCGATGTTGTCGAGTTGTTCTTTAGCTGGACTACATGAACGGCAGCGCACAGATTTCACTAAGTAACTCAGAAATAATGGAAGAGTTTGAAATAAAAAATGGCACCACACAAGGATGGATCAAACAGTGCAATTGGCAATGAAGTAAACGGAATTCCCATCAACAACGCCCGATATGCAGATGACACTACCATAATAACAGATAACACAGGTGATCTACAGACCCTTTCTAAATCAGGTCATTGAAGCAAGCAGAAGTTTGGATTTAAAAATTGACATTAAGAACCAAGTTTATGGTGATTGGTACAGACAATATTCCAAACGCTCAGATGAATATAACTTAAAACAACAGCCAGAGAGTTACTCGGTTTTTAATCTAGAATGTATGAAATCCAGAACACGAACGAGTAACCTTCCTAAAACTTAAAAATGTCCTTACAAACAAAAATTGGAGCTTTAACCTCAGATACGGAATTGTAAGATGCTATGTCTGGTCGGTCCTGCTGTATGGGGTGGAGGCGTGGTCGATCACGTAATAAACGAAGAAGTGCTTCGAAGAGCTGAACTGACAAATCGACAACTCTTAGATACAATCAAAAAAGAAAAATTGCATATTTGGGTTATATAATGCGTGGAGAACGTTATCACCTTCAATGTAAAATCGAGAGAGAAAAAAGGGAAATAAGAAGGAAGAAGCCATCCTGACTTAGTAACATTCGTCAGATCTCGAATAATTGCTGCTATAAATAGAGATATTTTATTTGGTTTACGACGCTGCATATTGAAAGTAAAAATAACAATAGAATGCACGTCATTCTGTTTTTGTGCGTTGGTGACACTTTATATTCACTGTGAACCCTGAAGGTAGTATTTAATATAATTAATGTGAAGAGATATTCTAAATATTCCTACAAAAAAAGTTAGAATTAAAAGCACGCATTGCCAGATATTTACCATTGAAAAACCTGCCCTAAGTAGAAGAAAATGTTATACAGGCAAATCTACTTTAAACATTTACTCAAAAAATGAATGGAGTTGTGTCTAACAAAAAAAAAGTTCTATAGCGTTTTTCCTGCTTACTGTTTGGTAGCGATAGAGCTCGGCAGGAAATAGGGGTCACCGATCTAGAGCATAAGTTTGAAAATAAAAAGACATAAAAATTTCATAATTGTACGGAATTTGCATTATTAGGGTCTACCAACATTAGAGCTCAAGAAATTATTGATTGCATTAAATTTTGCGGAGCTCTTGAATTGGCTCTCCGGGGATATGATGATATTAATTCTTTGGCCTAATTAGATGCAACTCTATGTGAGCACCTACAAAATTCTTCGATATTTGAGGGCACTTCCAAAAACATTCAGAATGATCTGTTACAGTGTATGCTTGTAGCTTGTCATGAACGAACAATTGAGACAATTAATAATTTTCCGCTTTTGCCTTAAAAACTTTCGCACGAGACGCAACTGCGTATTGATTAAACATACCCTGACAAATGACATTAAACCAATCAGAAGAAAGAATCAAAACGGATTTTCCTGTTGCTTAAAGATTTTCAATGATATAGAAAATGTGAATTAATTTAAGGAATTTTAAAGAAAAGTACAACAGTGTTTAATGAGGCTAACGTAATTGGCCGTCGGAATTGGCAAACCTCAAAATACCGACTCTGAAACCTACTGAAAATATGCGATCGCTCTTAAACAGTGGGCTAAAATACCCCAAATATCTGTAAGTAATACTTTTTGCATGCTTGATCTATGCATAATAGCATATTCTAGAGTAGTGAGTAAAAAGAATAATATAAGACAACTAGGGGCATATACTCCATCATCTGCGCATGCGATTTCTTCGATACGAGGATCGGCCAGACACAAATAATTTTTGATTTTTATAACTATATTTTGGTCATGTATAGTCTGTCTCAATCTTCATCACGTTGGCTCTCGAAAGACCCTTCTCAATAAAACTTTAACGATATTATTACCTATTGGGTAAAGCTTTTAATAAAAAATATATTCTTACTTGAGTGACAAAGCAGGGGTGGGTCAGGTATTTTTTTTATTGTGATATATTTCTTGAGTGTTGACCACTTGTGGCAGTGTTGAATAATCGTTTTTACTGTGCCTTTCGAAAAAGTTATTTAACGAGAATATAACAATGTCGCGTCAAAACTGTCAGTCGAAAGCACCTCCAAATAAAGGAAAACGCTTCACCATAATACACGCGGGGTCAGAAGACGGATTTGTCCCAAACTGCTTGCTGTTGACCGCAAAGAATATTAAGGTTTCTAGATTGGTTTATTATGAGGATACAAGTGACGAAATCTTTTAAAAATTGGTTTTAAAACAATCTTTGAAAAAATATTCCCAATAACAGTGTCATTGTCATGGATAACACAAGCTACCGCAGCCGTCTGCTACGCAAAGCACCGGCCTCATCAAGTTCAAAAACTGAAATCTCCAGGAATATTTGTTAGAAAATTATATTTATTTTGTTAATCTGTTACAAAAAAGCGCAACTTTTGGAAGTCCTGATGATGACACTATATTCCGGGATATCATCCGTTCGCTCGTTGAACTCCGACTGGAATCCTGCAAATCCTGCATCCGACTGGAATCCTGCATACGTTTCGCCAAAATCTCACTTGGCATCTTCAATGCTCGCGCTCCGAAAACACTTCGAACACTGTGTTCGGATGCAGGATTCCAGTCGGAGTTCAACGAGCGAACGGATGATATCCCGGAATATAGTGTCATCACATACGTGAGAATATATATATATATATATATATATATATATATATATATATATATATATATATATATATATATATATATATATATATATATATATATATATATATATATATACATATATATATATATATATATATATATATATATATATATATATATATATATATATATATATATATATATATATATATATATATATATATATATATATATATATATATATATATATATATATATATACATATATATATATATATATATATATATATATATATATATATATATATATATATATATATATATATATATATATATATCGAAGATCATATCAATCTTTTGCTCTGTAGTAAACATGATACGCAAGCAATGGAATAAATTAAAATCATAAACGCTAAATAAATAAATCAATAACGTGTCAAAAAATATTTGAATTATGACAGTCATAAACAACAAAACACGAGTCCATGGAGGCAGCATTCTAGCTCTTGTTTTGTTTAAATGCCGCCATAGCCACCTTACACTGAACTTGTATGGCAACAGCATATTATTTGTGATAGACAAATGTTTAAAAGGAAATATTTCAAAAAGTAAACATATTCGGCATATACAACCTAATATAAAATTGCCTTTATTTTTAATACTAAATATGAAAAAATTATAGAAACGGGTAGTTTCCATTAAAAAAAAATTTTTTGGCCGTTTTCTTAATTTAATTTTTAATCTTATTTTTCGCTTGCCCTGTGTTAATATGTATTCTAATTTCTTATGAAATTCGTTATTCGAGTCCTTTGTCTACAGCAAAACTTACTCAAGTGAAACAATGAATGCTTCCGAATGAAGAATTTGGCAGATATTTTACGTCTTACAAAAGTCATTTTTCGCATAAAAAATTAAAAATCTCAAAATGTCTAGAATTTTGTATAAAATTAAAAAATGAAGTAATATATATTATAAATGTTGTATTCCATCCGGTTCATGTAAATAATGTATTTATAACAGGAGATATCGTAATGGTCTGATCCAACGTTTCTTTCGAGGACAATCTGGCTAACAAATGATTTATTTCACTTGCAAACGCCCTGTGTTCGGTTTTCGATTTTGAAATTAGACTACACTTTCTCCTAATTTGCATTAAAAACATAAAAGTTCGTAGTTACTTCTAACTTTTTTCCCAGAATTTCAAATATACTGAACATTGTTAACCTTTTGTTCTTCAGAAGGCCATTGGTTGAATTCTTAAAAGTAAGTAAACAATAGGTACAAAAATTATTATTTTCTATTCACCATCAAAACTCCTAAAACTGCAAATGCACTAAATTGTTTTTAAACTTGTGTTTGTGCTCCAAACTACATTCCTAGTCTTTATTGAATTTAAGATAGAGACTTGAATGCAGTGTGACCTTCTGAAAACAAAATATCTGCGATAAAAATGTTTATAATTAGATAGCGATAGACATCGATAAAAATTGTTTATTGCGGATTATTTTTGGAGGGCAAGAACTAACTACCTTGAAGGTATTTTCGTTTCATTTTGATATGGTGAAATATTGTATGGGATAAACTCTGTATAATTATTGTTCCTCGGCTAGACAAACGTTGAAATTATTAATCAAAATCCATAATCCTATAAATTTATGCATAACTCATGAGGAATGAGAAAATAAAAAATTTGGATCAGCTGAAAATGCGTTTCAACATTTTTTACCGTATAACCGTATGCTTTGTCAAATGACGTTTATAATTTTTGGTCAATGATGGTGGATCTAAATAATCGTTAAGAAGGCACAATTCTTCCATTTTCATAATGGTTATCTTAATATGCGTTGCTGCAGACTTGGATGACAGGCTGAGAAGAAAGTATACCTGTAAAATGCGTTTTAATCTTTAAAACAAGGAAACGATTATTCATTGTTCTTTGACGGCTATGTTTGGCGAATTTCTCCATATTGCGACACACCTGCATATAATTGAAATAAGATTTTTTTATAAACGCTCTTTAGTCTTGCGCATTCACCATTCTGATTCTGAATTTAATTTAAAAAATGGGTATTTTAATTACGTTCGGAACGTTTCGGTATTAAAAATGTTAATATTGTACATCATATACAGTGTGTCCAAGGCAAGGAGGTACGATATTTGGCGAACTGCCGGTCCTAGAAATTCGAGATAATAAATTACTTAGTGGATCGGCCAAGGCAGTAGGCAGCAAATTATTTTCGAAAACTTTGAAACTTAGTTAAAATGAGTACTAACTTACGGCTTAGAAAAATGCGAATAATTAAATATTTAATTATTGAATAAATGTACAGGGTGAGTCAATGATAGAGTAAAGTTGCTTAGTATGAATTTGAGTACATGCGAGAGACTAACGCTGCGGGTATACAGACGGTACAGATGGTGGTCGTTGGAAAATCTAATAAACCACGTGCATTGAAAAACATTGATTTACCTGTAAACTATTATGGACAAAAGAGTGCGTGGATGACAAAAGATATTTTCAAAAAGTGGTTTGATGAATGCTTCGTGCTAGAAGTTAGAAAATGGTGGAAAGATCATAATTTACCTCAAAAAGCGTTATGCTTCTTGATAACTCTCCGGGTCATCCGTCTGAAGAAGAACTGACAACTAAGGATAAATGCATCACTGCAATGTTTGTTTCTTCCACCAAACTGAACTGCACTGATTCGAGGAGCAAGGCTTCAGAGCAGGCTTGGATCACATATTTAGCCTGGTGCAGCTGAATTGGGAAAAAGGTGGAAAAAAACAGAAAAGTTCACTTCTTGTTTGTCGATCTAACGCAGGCGTACAATATAGTCCCCATCCAAAAACTATGGCAGGTACTAGAAGAATCCCCGGTCAATAATACAGCAATAACAACAATTAAATAGCTCTATGGGCAAGCCACATCTCGAATTAAGATAGGAAAGAACATATCGGAAAAATTTCAAGTCTCAAAAGCCTTCGACAAGGATGCTGCCTCTCCCCGCCACTGTTCAAGATTTATTTGAATGAATCCTTAAGAAAATTGGTAGCATTCCGGTGTACCACTTTCCATTTTTCTGTACTACCACTATCATCAAATCATTAAACATTAAAGAGATTGTCTAGTTGGTATACTTCTATTAGGATACTTCGCCTGAAGTCTCACTCCCAACAAGTATTTTTTTCTCTTCACCCAGTATATGAATCGTATCAATTTATTCAGCTTTAGGAATATCCATACATAATTTTTTATTTCATTTGCCAACACCACAATTATTTTTCTGAATTTATTTACTCAGCTGTCAAGTAAAAATGTACAATGTCATTGTGTCATGGGCAACTAATGTTATAGCAATGGTTTTTTTCAGAAAAAAAGTTAAAACAAATCGCAAAGCGTTAAAAATAGGTATATGACATAGTTAATAAGAGTTGTAGGTTTTTGCCAGTTCTTTCAGAAATAATGGTGAATTTACAATTTAAGATGATCTAAAAATGGTACCCGCAGTCTAATAACGGTTTCTTTTATTTTTTATTTTTTTTATTCATATTATTCATCTACGGTACTGACATAAATTAAATTTGAGTTCTAAAATCATTTAAACTCTTTGCGCTATGTCATCAACTCCATGTTTGTAAACAGTTCTTAGATGACGTACTTTCAACCTGACTCTCTGGACGTTTCATAAATCTCAAGGTAGATGGCGCTAGAGTCATGTAAATTCAAAATCAAAAATTGTTAAATTTTAAACACAAAAGTTACTTTACCGGAATTCACTGTTAACCTAAAACATGAAACAAAAACTGACATTTTTTTTAGTTTTATATTTAACTGTACTAAAATAATTAAGGCAAACAATGAAATATACAGAGTGTAAAAAAATCTAAGTATTTTCACCAAACTTGAATTTTATTTCTCATACAAACAAGTGTATCATACACAAATGAAAACATTTTAGTAAAGAGTATGACGACCTAGATTTTTAACAGCTCTACATCTACTTATCTGGCGTCTAATGAGGTCATCATGGTCTTCTTGGGGAATTAAACGCCACTGTTGCTCTAAAATTTTTAGGAACTCCGAAACAGTTTCAATTAAGCTCTGAAGAAGCCAACAGGATGATTGTCAAAACGTCAGCAAGTTCGATTGATCAACAAACAATGGAGGATGAATCCAGAAGATTTGCAATTTGTTATTTAGGAACTCATTTCTTGTTTTAAATATTACATTTTGTGGTGATAAAATTCTCTCTCTTTTATTCAAAAACGTTCTTAATGTGCATTAGAATGAAATCACTGTTTGTTTGTCGATTTCTTGGATGGTTTCTAAGCCAACTAAGGTGTTCTCCAAATTCTTCTTCTTTTCGAGTCTGAGCTTAAGAGGAAACGCTCCATATTTTCGTCTTCCTACTCGAAGTGTTACCGAATCCCTTTTAAGCGCCTACCATTAACGTTGATGTCGATAATTTTTGAAGATATAATAATACGGGATTGCATTTATTGGCAAGTTGCCAGTTTTGAGGACGAACGCTTGCTTCTCCTTCTTCGTTATCAACCGAGGCAGTTAAGCTACTTCGAGTGTTAAACTACGCCCATCGGCGTGGGGTTAGGTAGTACAATTTCTTGGTCACGCAACAGGATTCGCTTCGCAGGAATCATCTAATTTATCGCCCTGCTCCTTTATACGATAATTTAGCGGGCTGATTTCACGGTCGAAAATTGACATCGCATTATTTAATAAAGCCTTACGTACGAATCAAATTTACACACACACTCGGCGTACGTGCGTAGATTTTTTTTACCAGCCACTATGAGTTCTTGTTACTTCGTAATCTGCTTGGTGCTGATTTCGGCGATCAAGGGAGATTCCCCCGCGTGCGACATAAACGCGTGTCAAGCCCTTGAGGAGAGTTTGATACGCTTGAGGGAATTTTGGGACAAAGTGGAGGGAAAAAATAATACCAACGATCATTTGAGGAGTCTGGAAAGAAGACTACGATCTCTCGAGCAACCCGGTAAACTTGACAGGATCCAAGCGTTCGCCATTACAAAACTCTTTTCCAGTGTGGCAAGTAGTCAAGAGCGAAGGGAACTGGATGAACTGCGCTAAAGGACCTTGCAATTGCTCCCCGGAAACCAAGACCTTGAACTGCTGGCAACAGGGGCTGACGCAGTTACCAACCGCTCAAGTCGTGCCGTATGACGTCAGATCGATGTAAGAAACTGCGCGGAGCGGAAAGCTTCCAGCTGTTTCTTCTTTGTTCCAGCGACCTCGGAATAAACCACTTAACTACATTGAACAAAAACACCTTCAAGGATCTGAGTTACCTGACTGAACTCGATTTGTTCGACAACAAAGTGGACTACCTTCCTCCTAATGTCTTCGATCAGCTTAGTAGCCTGATTTACCTGTAGGTAGCACGCTTTTGAAGTAAACGTCCAGGACATTGTTAATTTTTGAAGGCGCCTGCATAAGAACGCAATCGAAGTACTACCTCCGGAGTTATTGGCCAAGTTGCAGAATTTGAGAACCTTCGACGGGTCTACCAATTCAATCAAAGAACTGGCGCCCAACGCGTTCAGACAAAACAGAAATCTGATACTCGTGCACCTTTCGAGGAACCAAATCAGGCATCTTCACGAGACTGCATTCGACGGTCTGGAACACCTCGAGGATTTGGACCTCAGCAACAATCGTTTGGAAACTCTACCGAAGTTTATATTTAGCGACCTAAGGGCGCTGAAGCGGCTTCATATTGCTGAGAATAGTATTGCTTTGCTGCCAACTGGTAACTTCAGAAATTTAATTCAAAGGCTTTAATTCATCGAATTATCAAAAACCATCCAAACCAAACCTTTAACATTACGGTTCTTAAGAAATTGTGATATATGACTATTAATGTTTTGAATGTGGGGAGGCGCCAGAGTGGTAAGTGTGTGGATGCTGTCGGACTCGTTTTTTTGAGAGGTTGTGATGAAACCGAACTTCACATATTCATTCAAATTACAATTCTTACATGTTACAAGAACAATCCCAGAATCCATAGAAAACGCGTTACAACCAAACCAACTTCGACTCAGGTCTATATTTTTCACCAATTAGTCTTCCGAAACATTGTTTACGGCCCTACTTTAGCTCCGCCTCCCCCAAACGTCAGCAAGTTCGGTTCTTGATGAACGATGCAGGAGCAATCCAGAAAATTTGTAAATAATATTACAAGCCTTGTGGAAGTTTTTTCCAAAATGTACTCCAATCTGTATTCCAACAATGTCAGTACTTTTTTGTACGTTGTGTTAGGCTGAGAACTAACCAAGAAGATACCACGGCCGTCATCAATGACTTATCATCTCACTCACTTTAAAATGTTCTTTAAATAATGGCCCAAGTAGTTTGGATAAAAACATTTTTACACAATTTGAAAAACTATTAATTTAAACAGTTATTTTTAGCTGTTGTTGCATACTATGCGCAATTTGTATTAAAAAAAAATCTATATTTTTGCCTTAAATTTACTTAGATAAAAAAATTAAAAAGCGGAAGAAGTAAATTAAGTGTGTACCTAACCTGATTAGTCACCGACCGACCGAATGATCCGGGCAGTCGTGGCCAATAGCCAATAGCCAACTGCTATTACTATCGTCTAAGAGGTATTCTTTTTCTAATTTGGGAGATCCGGTTGAAGCTACTATTTCAGAAAGGTGTCGGGTAATACACGCTCATTTATTAGGTATACAAAGGGACTACAAAGTGACCCAATTCATACTTATGAAACTATTATTAATCGGCATTGATTTGATTGCACAATTTTTTCTTTTTATAGAGTGCAAACTTGGCCCAACAAAGGTAGACACTTTATTTAGCAAATTAGTAATGTCTCGTGCATTGTGATGAGGTGCACCATGATGTTGAAAGTATAGCTCATTATTTTGCTGAAGTGGCAAATTGTCGATAAACTGAATTACCGCCTCTTCTAGAATTTGTTGGTATCTTTAGGCATTTAAATTTCCATCAAAATTTGTCCTCTATAGATGCTTATCCATACCTCAAAACTGAACCTTCCCTGATTCGCTTTTGCTGTTTCCAGTAATAGCAGTTATAGCTTGTGAATAGTCCATCATCAGAAATCGTTGCCCCATCCATTCAAATAACTTTCCTGGCAAAATCGGGGTCTTCTTGGCATTTATTTAGGTACCACCTGTAAAGTGCACGTCTTGGAGCAAAATCTTATTGCCGTAACCCCCGTCGGGGTCGATAGGGCCTAAACTTGTGTTTTTTAAGCGCCCGCACGGCATTGTTGCGTGGAATTCCAATGTTTCTCTTCATAGCCCTGGTGGAAGTATTCCGGTTAATTTCTATTTCTCTCAGAAGCATTAGTTCTTCCAACTCTCTATCCTAGGCCGCGGTGTTGTAGATGAGGTTTTAAATTCAAAAATATTTTTGAGCTAGGTTGCCTTCTTTCCAGATATCTCTGGAAATATAGATTTAACGCCGTCCGTCGATTTTCGTTACTTTCAACTTATCATGTCGTACTTTTCAAAGTTTTCAAAGCACAGCCTACTATGGTAATTATTAAAAATTGCAGATATCTTTTTAACTACTTAATAAAAATAGCTGTATAGTACAGCGTTTCACAGGAAATTTTATTAGAAGATTTAAAAAAAGGGTTATTCCATTTAAAAAAATGTTACTTTGTGCTATATCTTATAAACTAAAGACTTTAAATCGGTGAAACAGGTAGATTTGTCCTTAAAAAATCTTCAAAAAATGTTGTTAATAAAAATCTCTATCTTTACAAATAAAAAAGTTATAGGGGGTTTTTAAAAACGCACATTTTTAAGAATCACCCTGTAGCTCAGAAACGCTTTAACATATCATGATGCGGCTTTTAGTTTTCGACTTCTCTGGAAAATCGAGACCTTAACATGCATATTAGTTTTGGGCAAACTAGGCTGCATATTCTTAAAGCCATAGAGGCCCCTCGAATCTGGACCGCACTTTTTTTCTGCTAATCGATAAGCTAGCTAGCTATAGCTATATGTCATAAACGTTTATCAATTTCACCGAATGTTCTAAATTTTTGACAGCAGTGCTTAAGGTCAACGGTGTTTTTAAATTTATTTCGCGATTTTAAATGCTTTGTCGTTTTACTCGTATATGTCAATTTGTACCTACTTCCACTACTTACAGTAAGATATAAAATTTGCTTCTTCTTATCACTATCACATAGGAAGATTTCACTTTTTAACTCCATATTTTTCACTTGCCGAGTTATTCAGAGCTTGTTTTTCTTTAGTTAGGATTTCCTGAAGAACGATACCACTCACTGCCTTTTAACACGTTCTTATTATTAAATACATTTTCACGTTTCCACTTTTTCGTAAATAGAGCGGTTTTCTTCGACCTAATATTCGTTTTAGTTTTTATCACATCCACCACCTGTCTCCGAAGATTATCCGTCTCCGTTTCTACTAGGTCACTTACTACGATTCTATTTTAAAGACAGCTGTTTTGTTATTTTCCTACCTTTCCCTGATTAAACGTGCAGCTGTCTTGGATCTTCTTTAGTAAAATTTTAATGGAGTCTATGGAATTCTTGTATGGATTACTCGAAATTAGATATTCTATTAATTAATTCACTGTTGCACTATGGTCTGAAAGACCATAATTTTTGCAGAAGTATTTTATTGCAAGAAAACTTATTAGAAAACCTTTTACTTGTTTAAAACTAATAATTCCAAAGTAAAATATCAACTATTATTTTTATTTTATTTTAAATTTTAACCAATACTAACCACAAAATTTGTATTAAAATTGTTCAATAATTACTTACAATTTAGTTAATTTATTAATCTTACTAATTTTTATTTAATTGATTATAAAAATAAAATCTATTTAATTTAAGAACGAATGATGAAAACAATATAGAAGCTTTTAGGGACCCAATTACAGCACACACGATTTTTTGTTTCAATTTTCTTTTTCTAGAACGAAGGCTAGCACTGGAAGTAAAATAATCTGAGGTATCTATAATATAATAATGTCCATGTATTAAAGCAATGCATTTCAAAATTTTCATTATGAAGAGGTAGTTAGAATTATGAAATTTGTTAGAAATTTCGTTATGAGTTCAAGTGAAACACCCTTGATTTCTGTGTTACTTAGCTTCTCCCAAAAGTGATTTTGTACAATTTTTGTCCTTTCATTCAAGTTTGTTAGTTTGTCCTCTACTTTTCTCCATACCTTCATTTCAATTCTGTAGTTGATGTGGCGCGCACATTCTAAAAATCTTACCCTACAGTGTAATGAACTAATTTTTAACCTTCATGGGGGATACTTAAAAATTTTTCCGTCGACTACTGTTAAGCACAATGTGTGCGAGTAATTTCTAGAGTATGGTTTCACATATTGCATTCCAGTGGACTTAAAACCTTAATCTGTTCGTCCAAATGTGCCATTTCTTTTAAAATGTGACTTTTTGTTTCTTTTCTGTTCTGTTTTTTAAACGGCCTAGAAAATGCTTTACCGAAAGGGCGCCACTTATGGAACATAAGAACCGAAGTGGTATTATTTTGGTGGCAAATATACTGTAGTTATCACAGAATGATTTGCAAAATTCTTGTTTATAATTAGAATGGTCAGAACAGCCGTCAAATCCATAACTACAAATCATAGTAGCTCTCATGTTATTGGCATTTAAAAATTTATAAGAACATTTTCTTGTAGTAAAATTATTCTCGAGACAGCGTGATCCAGCAAATCTGGCAGTGGAATCGATTCTTCTTCAAACTTTGAATCATATTCCTGTGGAGAATAAGGCACTCCTGGATTCCTCGTACGTCGGTTTTTGTTGACTCGAACTAGCTAACGTTTCGCCAATCATCCTGTTGGCTTCTTCAGAGCTTGACTGAAACTGTATCGCATTTCACTCTGTACCTGGTTTTATATTGTTTGAGGGGGCGGACCTAAATGAGGGGCATAAACACCGTCTCGGGTGACTGATTCCCATATTGGTGACAGATAGAGACCTGAGCCGCGGTTAATATTGTTAGGTTGCTTATAGATTTCTATAGACTCTCGGATTTTTCGTTAGTAGAAGAATTGATTACATGCAAGAATTTTAGTTTTATCGAATAAAATTTTATGTCCGGTTTCGTGATTGTCTTCGGCAACTACTGATGAGTTTATTTGTCTTAGTCTTAAGGTTCTTTCATGTTTTTTGAGCTTAGTTGAGATTTTTCGTCCGGTCTCTCCAATATAAACTTCTGGAATCTCAAATGGAATTTTGTCTTTGAGATGTTGAGAGATGTTTGGACAAGTGGTAAATCTGGTTTTGCCGTTATATTTCTTTAGAACTGTTGATATGTGATTGATTGCTTTCGGGTTCATTGCCATTGGAAGGTTGTGGTGAAGTGTATTTTGTGATCGAAAGCTTAATACCTTTAATGTGGAAATTATTAGAGAGAATAGCAGAGGTAAGGCGTTTTAATTCTGGTTCTTTAATTTTTTGTTTCGAAAGCAAAGTTTTAAATTTGCCGGTCTGCTAGGGCACACTGCAGCTTCCTTCATTACCACAGACAGATGTTTTTGGCCGCTATATGGAATATGGAGCAGCAATGTTGGCAGCTTCAACCATTAAATTTGAGTTATGGCATTTTAAAAAGCTCAAAAAGTTAGGTTTACTATTTTGCGTAGGTTTTTTTGCCCAACATACAACAAATACAAAAAATACAAAAACTTGCCAAATATCCAACTATATGCAACAATTTTGGGTACCGCTGTAAACTAGACCCTTTAAGCAATATAATACAAGCAAAAACTGTGTTCACAGAATTTTGGTGTTCTATGAAACATCAATTAACAATAAAAGTAATAGTAGACTTGCTTTCGTGTTTCTTTTATTGTTGTAGCGTCAACTTCAGAGTTTACCTCATTTTTGTTGTTAAGTAGGTATTTCTTTCGATAGTTTTGAAAATAACGAACCGAATAAATTTTAGCAAGTATACCGTTTTTGTTCGAAATATTAACTACAATTCAAGAGATTAGTAGTCTATTTGCATATCAGCCGCCTTTAATTCATTGTAAGTAGATGGCCGTTTTCAGGTATATTCGACAATTTAATCAACTTGGAACTGTTAAATTTGAGAAAAAATCGTATAATGCATTTGTCGGACAACTTGTTCGCAAAGATGGAGAATTTGCAGGTACTGCAGCTGACGAATAACCAGATAGCCGAGGTGAATCACTAACAACGTTTTTTCACTAATTATGTAATCGTTGTTCGAGCGCGATTTTTAGATAAACCTCAACGATTTTTCCAAACTGACGAATCTGGTCGAACTCCATTTGGGACAAAATCTATTGTCTGACTTACCCGAGAATATTTTCCTGCGCAACAAGAACCTGGAAAAGCTCTATCTGTTTTCCAACAACTTGGAAGAGCTGAGAGAGAGGAATTTCAACGGGCTGGTCGCGCTAACTAATTTGCTGGTCAACAATAATCTATTGAAAGAGGTTCATTCCAGGGTCTTTGTTTACACGCCCAGCTTGCAGAAATTGTAAACACATCGAAATTAATATGGGGTGGCCCAAAGAGAACTTTGTCGAACTGTTATGCAAAAATTATAACTATTGATTGAAAGTGTTTCTAATATGGCACCAGTTCTGGTTATAAATGGAGACATTTTGCTTATTTTAAATTTTTACAAAGTTGTGACACATTTGGTTGTAGATTGGGCAATGTTTCTTATGTCATCTGTTAAAACTGCAAAAAAATTCACGGAATGGTAAAGAATGCATCTCGAGCTAATGTAAAATAAAATAGTGTCAATGTATTACAAACTCACCTAAAATATTAAAAAAATATATTTCAGGTAATATATAAAACGTAAATATCAATTCGACAGCAAACAATAAACATTTACAAAAATTAACGTCTAATTAAATAATGTCTATACATTATTATTTTAGTTTTTAACTTTTATTATATCCTGAGATTATCGGACAAGAGTCGAACAAATCTAAAACTTCGAAAGACAGTTTAGCAATATCCCTTTTGCAAAATACTATATAGCTGGCTGATTTTTTCTGGCATTAATGAAACTGTAGAATATGCATAATTTTGGTTAGCTTGCTAAGCCTCCTCACTTAGTTGACCTATGAATCAAACTGGTCCAAGGTAGTAGTCATTAAATTGAAAATGAAAATAATTGTAATAATATTAATAATACATATTCTTAAGTGCCGTCTTCGTTCCGAAGGTTGACGATCATCAAAGCTATGCTATGCTTATTATATAACAGTTTTTTCTTGTTAATAGTCATTACAATTCTTTTTTTTTTCATTTGTCTTAGCACCTTAGTATTGGTTATTCTCTGCACCCATGAAATTCGTAATATTCTGCGATATACCCAGAGCTCCAAAGCTTCTATTTTCTAGACGTTGTTTACCGTCCAAGATTCCATGCCTTATCACAGAACTGATAAAAAATAACATCTCATGTATTTTCGGTTCGAAGTTAAAATGTCTACTGCAGAATACTTGTGTCATCTTCAAAAAAACAAACTCCTGGATTTTTCGTTCCGGGTTTTTATTTCCCGAGAGCTGTCAGCATTTTTATTAAAGAGAGTATCTAAGTAATTCTAATTTCTAACTCTTTTAATAGGTTCGCCTAGTATAAATACATGCCGATGTTCCTTGTGTGCTTTTGTTATGAGCATAAATTTGGTTTTATTTTTGTTTAACTTCACCGACCGTATTAATAAGCGCCTGTAGGTCTTGTATAAGGTGCGTACTTTATATTATTGAGTCGATTTATATTCTTGATTGTCCAATTTTTTATTCATAACATCTTGTGAATACATATTGAAACTGATGGGTGAAAGACGCAACCCTGCCGGATTCCTCTATTTATTTTATATGCTCAATTGTTTTTTCTTGTATCTGTATCTGTATCTTCTCTAGAATCTAGAAAAACTAAGTACAAAAATGCATGTCCTGGTTCACGTCCAGGAATTTCTGGGATATAACATTTAACGCAAAGAGTGCCCAGACCGTTTCTGAATCCAAATTGCGTTTCATCGTTATTTTGTTCTAGTTTTTAAGAATGCCTTTAATATATGTCGTATCAAGCTCAAAGTGCGATAGTCCGGGTATTGTTTAGCATTTCTTTTTTTTGGTAGCGTTATAAAGGTTGATGTCAGTCATTCTTGTGGTATTATCCCTGACTTGTAGATGTCATTAAACAAATCCACCAAGTCGTCGGCTGATAGCTTATCTGGGCATGATGCTTTCTATTCAGTGCATGTGTGCTTTGTTATTTCAGGACCTTGATCTCCTTCCATATGATCAATTTCAACTTTTTGTATATGATCTTCGAAGAGAGTCTCCACATAATTTTGTCCTTCGTATCGCATAACGTAAATGAGTTGATTGCGTTTTTGTAATCCCTATAATTTTTTTATTTTTTTGTGTGTATTAAATAAAATTAGCCGTCGGAATAATTGGAACCTGCGCATTTTATATAATTTAATTTTGTCCTTCGTATCGCATAGCGTAAATGAGTTGATTGCGTTTTTGTAATCCCTATAATTTTTTTATTTTTTTGTGTGTATTAAATAAAATTAGCCGTCGGAATAATTGGAACCTGCGCATTTTATATATTGTAGTTTTTTCTAATTATTTTCTACTTCAGGTACATGGTTAACACCTTGTTTTCAACTCTGATATTAATTCACACAGAGCTTTAATTACAACAATTACAATGGGCCGACATTTTTGGGTTAGTTTCGGGTATAATATTTTTATAGGATTCAAATAGCAGTGATAAGGTGGTTAAGGGGTATATTACCGGTTTTTTTTTAATCGCATACACTTCCCTGCCAATCTACTCTGCACCACCATTCCCAAACACTTTCTTATGCCTTCATATGTTTTTTTCAATTTCATCATACCCTATGACGTTTTTAGAATACGTGCAGTCAAATCTTGCATTATTATATACATTAAATACATGATATACATTATGTTATAGTAAACTTGGACTGATGTCTTTGGAAACGGCTTTTTCAAATTTAAATACGTTAAAGAATATGTGCCATTGTCTGATAATATAGATTCTCTTGCCCTGATTCTCTTCTCTATACAGGGATCTTTATATATCTCCTATTATACCTACATCAAAGTTTAAATAGGGAAAGTTTTAGAGGAAACTTAATGCATTTCATCACCGGCTTCAGATTTACCATCGGTCGGTAAATCCAGCGGTTAAATTGATAGTTGTCAAAATGTAACATTGTTCAGACACTTTTTTAAGACATGTTTTAAATGTTTTTTGTTATCTCCAAACCCGCTTTAACTCTGATTTTTCTTATGGTCGTCGATTTTTGGAAAGAGCATTAAATTTCCAGTGCAATGATGTCTCAAAAGATTTTATCTCACTTCGTAAAGTTTGGTCTTAATTTTTTATTCATTAATTTCACATTAACATTAAGAATTTTTAATACAACATGAAAGTGAAGGACGACTCACCAAGCGAGACTGCTTGCTTTTAGAAAGCAAAAGTCAGAAATGTCTTCGTTAATTTAATTTACACTTGAACAATGTACAAGTTCGACAAAAATTGAAAAAAAAAATCGCGGCAGAAATAATTTATAAATAAATCTAATCACAATTACATAGATTTTCAAAATGGCGTCCATTTGCATCGTGACATTTTTGACAATTTATGACTATTTGTCTTGCAACCCTAGTAAGTGTATTTCCGTTAATGTTTCTCAATTTGTCTAAAACTCTTTATCTCAAGGTTTCTATAATCTCGGGAGGTTGCGAGATAACAAAAGACGATTGAGTGTTTGAACAATGTCACATTTTCACACCTATCAATTTAACCGTTTTGCATTTACTGGCGAAAAACGAAATCCGCCATTTTTGGGGTTGTCCAAAACCAATCTCTGTATTAAGAAGCGAATCCGAGACACATTACACTTTCTTTTTGGTTCGTTACTCTCCTGCATTGCATCGTCGAAATTGTCTTCAACCCACAGTGAACCACCACCAATGGTGCAGGGTAAATGGTTTTAAAATTTCTAAGGTATCCATGCTACTAAAATAAAAATTCCTCCCTGTACTAATAAACGCTAATAACAGCTTCATTGATAGCACACCAAGATATTATCCGGGTATGGCTTAACCTGCAAGATTTGAATATAGGGAACAAAGTATCGTTAATAATAGATTTTGTGTGTAAAATTCAATATGTTTTTTGGAAAAAACTTACAAAATGAATTTCGGTTAGTTTTTGTTACTTGCAATAATTGCTGTATTTTAATGAACGGAGGTTTTATAACGGTACGGCTTATTGGTCGTTTCGTTTGTGAATATTTGAGTCAAATAATAACCATTAATTATTAATTAATTAAACAGCCCAAAATACGATTGAACTATAAATCGTGTCTTTTGGTGTCGTTAGTGGACTTTAAATGTTGAGTTTAATAATAGGCAAGAACACTTAGACTTTTTATAGCAGAGCAGAGATAATGTGGTTCCTACATGATGGAGCTCCTGCACATCATGCCCCTCAAGTTAGGAACTATATAAAGAAGGATGGACTATTTTCTGTGGGGATATGTTATGTAAAAAACTGCCTCCACAACAAAGGAGGACTTGAAGCAGAGGATAAGAGAAGCCTTTTAAAGTGTAATTCAAGTATTTTTCTGGAACTATTAGCAGTATTAAAATTGCATTGTTAATATTACTCCTAGCGCAAAATACTGTTTAAATTGTTCGTTGAAAATTGTGCAGTTCATAATTTTATTTTTGTTAAAATCACGGATTTAATGAATTATTTTGCCATTGAATTTTGTATTAACATGCTATTATCTAAAAGAATTATACTTAATATTTTTCATTTTTACTCACAAATTATTGACTTAATATAATAACAGCTGTCGGAAACGGCGTCAAAAATTTAGGGTATTAAACACCAGGGATTTTTCACGAAAAAATGGCCTAAATCCCAAAACATTCTTTAAAGCCCATAAAAACCCCACTTTGAGTGATTGACTATAAAAGGAAGTATATATTTAATGTCCTAATATACGGGATGTACCATTTAAAAAATACATAATTTTGATTTCCCACATTTTGATGAAAATAATTTTAAATTGTTTCCTTTAGTCTTTTATATAACTTTTTTATTTAACATTTTCGTCTAAAGATAAATAAAAAAGGAGATATATTACCTGGACACATTATTTTAGTGGAGTGTACTTTGTGATGGAGTATATCTAATGCGGAAATTATTAGAAAGATGTTAGGTGTTTTAATCCTGGGTTCAGTGACTCGGGCTGCTATAGTTTTACGGCTCTGTAAAAAAGGAAGTTGATAACCTATAATTTTTGGTCCGGATGGTGATCTAACAATACATTACGGTATCGTCTGTATGCGTGGGTTTTCTGTAAATTGAGTGACCTAATATGAGGCCTAACTTAATATTAATAAAAATAAAAATCTCTAGGAATGGGAAATTATTACGAGTTTCTAATTCAATGGTAAAACGTTTGTTAGGGTGTATAGAATTGTAGGTAAATTGTATTGTAAAAAATTATACAGTAAATTGTTAAGAAATTCTCGGAGGGATTCTTGTCCTTAAGGCCCAATGACAACAACGGTACCATCATCATTAACGTAGCGTTTCCGTAATTTTGGTTTTAGATGAAAGGTTGAAGGCTTGCTTCGCACATACTTCAATAAATATATTTGCGATGACTGCTGTTAATGGAGAAACAATAACTCACTCCTCATTGACCGTTGCAAGAAAAATAAGTTCCAGAAAAGCATGTTCAAATTAAGATGATCCCAGCTTTACGAAGTACAATATATCTGAAATAATGTTGAAATTAACTAGAATATCTTTTGGATCTGGATTTAAATTATGCAATGAATAGTCCGTAGAAACCAGTAATTTCCCCTTGTGTTCCGTTCATTAAAGCTTTTTCATATATTCTTAAAACGTAGTGTATATTTGAACATAATTTCCGCCTTTTTGAGCATATTCGATATATAAGCAGTTTACATTCTTGAAGTAATTGATGGTCCCTCAAAAAACAGTCGAAGACAAATGACAGTTGTTTGAATAGTAAGTTTGGTCTATTTTTTAAAGGTTTGATGGGAATTCCTGTTATCCTGGGAGTTAATTTTTCATTCTGCCAAGAGTTTTTCTTACTTCTTTTTCTGTGATTAAATATCACTCATATAATATATATCACCCGTATAAGGCTGAAGGCTGATAGTATTTCTGATGCTAAAACACTTAAGTTACACAAAAAAAACTCAAATGGTAGCCAAGTTCCGCGGAGGGATAATTAAATATGTGGTCATAAGTCAGAAAGGATGCTATTTAAAAACGTGAAAATTTTAGATTTTGTTGGTAGAAAATATTTCTAAGGTGGCAACAGTTCCTCATATGTTGGAAATGGAAGCCATTTTGATTATTTCAAATCTGTACAAAGTTCTCGGTGGCGGACGCCTTATATTCCTGCTGTATTAACATTTTTTTTTCAGGCAACTAGACAGCAACAAATTTCATTACTTGTCGCCGAAACTTTTCGATCCCTTAACCGAATTGGTTTCGGTAAAGCTAGGGAAAAATCCGTGGCATTGCGACTGCAACATCCTGTATTTGGCTATGTAAGACCGACGGCCGTTCCGTCACCTTATTAATCAGTTTTGTTTTCAGATGGGTCGATTCAAATCCGGAGAAAATTTGGGACTCTGAGCCGACGTGCAGAGGTCCGGGTGATTTTGGGGGATTGCTGCTCAAAGACATGACCTTCGACAAGTTATGCGAAGGTCAATGGGCCAGCATGTTGAACTTGTCACCCCGCATACCGATCAAGGGGGGCTTTATCGGAGAATCTAGCAGGACCGTTAATTATCCTCCGGTAGCGTAATATGCTCTACGATGCTGCATTTCATGTCCTTTTAGATTTTAATTTTAAAGCGTGGTTATTTAAATCGTTGTGCATTGGAGGCTCTGTCTACATTTAATTGCAGCTTTATTGAATAACAATTTAAATAAATAAAAAAAATTAAAAAGGTGTTTCTTTTCGCACAAGATTAAATAGTAAAAGATGTTTCCAAAACAAAAATGAACTCTTAAACCGACATGTTTCGATAAAATAAAATTATCATAATCGAGGTTAAGCTTTTTTAGTAGTAGTACCAGAACTGTCCTTCGCTTTTAATTTTTTTAACTGGTGATTGTGACTACCCACATGCCTCTGAATGACCATAATTTTCGCCGAAAGTCTCAATTTTCAATGTAATATACAAGACATTTTAAAACAAGTATGATATCAGGTGATAACTGCTGTTTCCTTTGTAAAAGGTTAAAAGCTGTGTTGCCAATTCTTTTATTTGTGTACGTATAAGTCATTTTCTCTAATTTGGAGGATTATTTGCAAAGGAATTGTTAAAGAAAATAATTTGTTTTATAATAATACTAATAATAATATGGTTTGAAGTTTCTAGTTTGTAGTAGGACCTAAGAATTTTGCATATAGTTAAATATTTGGCAAATTTTTGTATTTTTTGCAGAAAAGCACAGCTCGCCTAATCAGAAAAATCTTTATGTTTAGCAAAAAGAAACGCAAAATTCAAAATTTCAAGTTTAACCAAATTTGTATTAGTAAGTAGTAATTTGTAACGTCGCAGAAGAGAATAACAATTTTATGGAAGAACAAGGTAAATTTTTGTCTTCGAATATAGCCAAAAAAATGGAAAAAAGGGAACAGAAATAAAAATCATTTTGATAAAAAATACAAAGACTGGGTTTTAATGATTTTTAATTTATTATTATTTAATTTTCAATATATATGCTTTGGTTAAAACCAAGGCAGGCCTATTTGTTAGAAACTAACTTTGCAAAAACTCAGTACGGAAACCCCATAATTGAAGCTAAGGAGAGGAACTGCTATATTTACCCAAGTTATGAAAACATTTTGCAGGCAAAAAATGGAATGTCGACCAAATGGCACTCAAATTTCGGAGATAATTACATCGGTTCCGCTGGCAGATTTGTTAAACTACAGAATATTAAGAATAATTTGACTACAAGAAATTGTTCCAATAAATTTATTTGAGTTTTTTAATTGCACTAACATGACAGCTACCACGATTTTTAGTTATGGGTTTGGTGTAAGTTCTGGTTGTTCTAATTGCAACCACAAATTCGAACAATGGCCATTACAAAATGGGTTCCAAAAATAATGTCCTTTGGGATAACCCAACACCACCATCTAGATTTTGTAGGCTACTTAAACAGCAATCAATAGCAAATTTTTAAGTTTCCTTACCAATACCAAATCATTCCAAGCTTGTCCGCTATGTGGAGTAACGCCTTCAACATTCATGAAGGATAAATTTGTTATCTGTGCCCAACTTAGACTTAGTTAGACTTAGTTGTTTATAATAACGAGTGTTTCCTTCATAATGAAATTTCAAACAATTTTGATTGCTTTCTGGCTTGTCGGTTGCCTCTTGATCTTGCAAATTTGAGACGCACTGCTTTAATACAGGGAAATTATTTTTAAGTTTATAGCTTTGGTTTCCCATGTCGGATGAAAATTGTTTACTGCCTGTCGATTACTTTGGTGAAAATGCCAATGAATCAAGAAATAAACAAGATGGTTTGGATCATGGGAGAAAAACTAGCAGATTAAATTACTTAGAAGGTGTATTTTGTCGAGAAGTAGATGCCTCAGATCTTCTTATTTCCAGTGCTAGCCTTCATTGAAGAAAAATAAATTTTAAAATAAAAAATCTTCAAGTGCTGTAATGGGGTTACTAAAATATTTAAACTTTTTTTTTAAAATTTAGCACTAAACACATGGAAAAATCTAAAAATGAACCAAATTTAAATTATGATGATCTGGAAGATATTTTAGATATTGGAGCTTTAGAGTTATAGTCTGAAAAGAACTTTTAAATCTACATTGTTTTTGTCATTTGTTCTAGTATCGAATACAATTTATTTTTCTAACCAATTAAGTACAAATTAGGAGATAAGTAATTTAATAGTTCATTAATAATTTAATTAAATTGTTAGTTATTGAACAAGTTGATTTTAATAAAAAATTTGTCTTTAGAATTAATTAAAATTTAACCATTACTTTCCTTTCGAAAAAAAATAGTTTTTTGTATTTTGCGTTTGTATTATTAATTTTAAACAATTAAAACGTATTCAAATAATTTTTCATGCAATAAAATACTTCTCATATGGCCATTGTTGGATAGCAATATAGACCTTTTGGCTTTGTACCATTAATTAAGATTTCAAATGATATTTTTATCAAATATCCAGCGCACCCTGACGAAAACTGTAAATCCGAAAATTGTGGCTCTCGACACAGTTTATGGTCCTATTTTTTACAATTTTTTATTTACACACAAGCGGCAATTTAGAATTTTTGCCCATAGCCGACACACCCCTTACAGAATCGAAAAATTGCCTGAAGTTAAAGTTATAGCTCTGGATGTCCCACGCCTCCCAGTGAATGAGGTTTTCCAATGGGGTAAATGGTTTCCGAGAAAATATTTTTTTTCTGGAACTATTCAGCGCACCGAATGTCGGGAACGGGAGAAATAACGATTTCCAACTATGCCTAATATCGCGTGCACCCTGAAAATGGTAAAAACAAAAATTGTGGTCCTTGATATCGCCTACAAAACAATGTAAACATTTTTGTTTCTGTTTTTCATTATTTTTTATTTACAGCTAATGGTGAACCCTTGAAAATGCAATTTTAAGGATTTTTGGTTATTTAACAGAAAAACCTTGTACCTTGTCGAAGAACTATTCGAGCCCCGGATCTCCAGCGTTACCTAGTTCAAGAGTTTTTCGAATTTGATAAATGTTTTTCGAGAAAATATATAGCCAAAATAACCCAAAAAATTCATTTTTTTTTTAAATACTACGCGATATTCGATTGTGAACAACTTCAACAGACTGAAAGTAATCGCAATCTTCGACGATGGCTGCAATGTTCAGCAATTTCCAGTAACACAATTTTTCGGTAAAATAAAACGTCGGAAGATGACTATCCCTGTGTATTTTTACAAAAGCACATTATTTTAATTCTGTGTTTACTGCGTTTATGTGTGCGATTGGGAGACCGACCGACTCTCGACTGCTTAGAAGCAAAGGCACCCTGCACGGAACCTTACAGGCATGCACTCTTTGAAAACTATGAAATTAAGCAAAAATATTTAACATGCCCAAAGCCTTGCAAGCTGTCACTAAAGAAAAAAGAAAGGGCAAAGCCAAAAAACTGGCAATACGACACTTCATTTCACTGGTAGAGGGCAAAGTTTAGAATAAGCTCGTTTAAATGTTCCAGCCTGAGTTTTCAATGACGCTATGCGACTAACACCATCTTTTCCAGGATGCAATATCGTACTCTTCCAAGTTTCCAGCACATAACTGGAGAGTGCTTTGAGACTTCTTTCATTTACACCTTTGTTGCAATTCGGACTCTTTACTCCATCATTCCCAAATATGCTACCTCATTTGCTGCAGGTGTTGGTATATTGACAGTCAGGAATGTTCTTTAGATCTAATTCCGATATTGTAGACAATTGCTTGGTCAATATAAAAAGTGAGAGGGAGTCGAAGGACTAAGGTCATGTGAACTTGGACATAATGGAGAAGTAGTTCGTTTTAAATGATGTTTCATACTTTTCACGCCTGCCTCCCATAAACCACCAAACATTTTGTTTTCCAAAGGAATAAATTAAATCATTGTTATTTTTTCTAATTAAATAATACGAAGCATTTAATTCAAAACGAGCTGCCGCAAAATTGGCTCGGCTGTTCGAGAATATTTGACTCGGTTTCCTCTGCGAGACACAAATCTACGTAAAGCTAAAATAAATGCATCTTTCCTGAGATCGGTTACCAATTCCAAATGAATTGCTTTGTCCAAACATATAAAAAGTGCAACATAAACCTTTTCACTTTCAAAACCACTACCTGTTTTACTATTCATGGTTGGTTTTGAAATTTTTGGGTTGAATCTAAAACATTTGACACAATTTCGATCTGTCAGCTTGGCTAAATACCGCCCCGAAATTGGCCAAAATTTCTCGCGTATCGCTAATAAATATTGTAGGTCTGCATGAAATAATTTTTCATGCTCGTTTTAAAAATAATCATTTCGTAAACGAATGTTGTTTTGGTAAAATAAGTAGACGTTTCTTTTCAAAATCTTACTTTGCATTTGATAGTCTGCCCCCAACACGCAAAAAACAACGACATCAATAAGGGGGCTTAAATTTCCAATTTTATTCGAATTGAACTGGCGAGACTGCAAGAGACGATTGGAGAATATCAAGGCGACAATATATGGGATAGCTTGAAGAAAACCATGAACTCTGTTTCTCAGAACATACTAGGATACCGTCAGTCTGTTCCTAAGAACAAATGGATGACAGAGGAAATTCTACGACTGATGGACGAGAGACGTAAACATAAAAATGTAAACCCTGATCAATATAGTCTTTTAAATTCTAGAATTAGATCTGAAATCAGAAAAGCTAAAAGAAAGTGGCTAGAACAAGAATGCCAAGAAATAGAGAGACTCCAACAGATACATGATACTCATAGCGAACATAAAAAGCTAAAGGAGGTAGCTGGAATATATAAAACCAAGGCACCAATAGTTCTAGTCAACGACAAAAACGAGATAATCCTGGAAAAGGATGAAAGAAGAAGAATGTGGGAGCAATACATAAGAAAACTATTCCAAGACAGTGAGAGAACGGACCTCGAAATTAACCCCGCGGGTGAATCGTTGAGTGGACCACCGATAACAAAAGAGGAAATTCGTAAAGCGATACAACTTTCAAAAAATAACAAGGCAGTCGGACCAGATGAAGTGCCAGCCGAGATCATTAAGCTAATAGACGATGATAACCTGTCTTTATTGGAAGTTGTTTTCAATAAGATATACAGCACTGGCAGGTACCCCACAGACTGGTTAAGGTCTACC